ATGGTGCACACTTTTAGTCCTGGTGACTCAGAAGGCTGAAGCAGGAGGATCTCAAGTTTGAGGCCAGTCTGAGCAACTTAGTAAGACCCTGTCTCACAGTAAAAAATAAAAAAGACTTGGGACTTAGCTCTATGGTAAAGCACTCCAGAGTCCAATTCTCAGTACCAGAGAAAGAGAATATGAATTGGTTCAGGGAAAGTTGGTGGAAAAGTCAAGACTGTCTTAGAGTAGCAGACAGCCTGAGACATGGTCTCCTGCCTATCACCTGGACTCTTTCTGTAGTTTCTTTTCCTCCTTCTTCAGTGTTTTTGATGAGCATTGAGTTAATCATCACTCAAATATTGTCCCTTTCCCAAACAACAACAAGATTTAGATCAGTAGCAAAGATAATATTGACACTTAGTTCTCTGAGACACTTTTCATTCCTCCTGCCCTAATGATTGTAGTCATATTCATGCCAGAAATGCATTTAAAAATTCTGCTATGCTACTGCTCAATTCACAATAGCTAAACTATGGAACCAGCCTAGGTGTCCTTAACAGATGAATGGATAAAGAAAATATTTTATATATATATATACACACACACACACACACACACACACACACAATGGAATATTACTCATAAAGAGAAATGAAATTATGACATTTGCCAGTAAATGGATGGAACTGGAGACTATCATGCTAAGTGAAACAAGCCAATCCCCCAAATCCAAAGGCGGAATGGAATGTTCTCTCTGATATGTGAATGCTAACACATAATAAGGGTGTGGGTGGCAAGAAAAAACAGAAGTACTTTGGATTAAACAAAGAAGATTGAAGGGAAGGCAAGAGGAGTGGGAATAGGAAAGATAGTAGAATGAATTGGACATTACTTTCCTATGTTCGTCTATGAATACACAGCCAATGTAATTCCACATCATGTACAACTGGAAGAACGGGACGTTGTATCCATGTGTGCATAATATGTCAAAATGCATTCTACTATCATGTATAAAAAGAACAAATAAAAAAGATTTTTTAAAAATTATGCTACTATTAGCAATACTTGAAATATAACTTTGCTTGTGGGAAACTTAAAGTACTTAATCACCAATTATACTTTCTTTATTCACATGTTTGGCTTATCAAAACCAACCACCGACAGCATTCTCCCTGAGACATAAGCATGGGCTTCCTAGAGATTTGTCAAGATCAGGGTGACACTGACTTCTTCACTGAACGGTTGTTAAGGGGGCATGGCCCTCTTGGGTGTCAGGAAACCTGTGATTTCCTAATCATTCAAATGAAATTCAATACATTGGTCCTCAAGCCTGTTTTGGTGCCAATACCATGCTGTTTTTAATACTACAGCTCTTGTATTATTTGAGGTCAGGTATTATGGTGCCTACTGTTTCAGTCTTCTCACTATAGATTGCTTTGGCTATT